GGATATTGGTCTATATGAGTTAGCTTGATTAGCTGGTTTATTAGGTTTAGGGATTGGTATGACTAGGGCCTGTTTCCAGGGAGTAGGAACCTGTCCGTTTAGGTAGATGAGATTGTATAGTTTGAGTAGTGCCTGGAGTAGTTTTAGGGGGAGTTTTTTAATTATTTGGTAAGTGAATGAACTGAAAATTTACCTTCTTATATAGCAGGATCTACAAACTGAACGTTGATCGTTAATCAGTAATTAATCAACAAATAAGAAAATTCGCTCACCAATATTGCTAGTGAACACTTTTGACATTAATTGAGGGGGTGAACTCAGTTCAGTATTTGGTGACTTTGATATGGCCCCCATGCTTGTATAAACATTGCTACTGTTAATCCCTGGTGGCCTGGTGGCAAAGTGAGGATAAACCGAAAACGGTAAGATGCAAACTTCTAAATAGGTTTAGAAAACAGAAAGACACAAATTCGCTAGATGAGTACAATTACATTAGATATAAGTATAATGCTGTGTGTAGACAAAAGAGAGATTCATTTTATAAACAAAAACAACAGTGTTTGGAAAAAAGCATATATGATTCTAAAAGATTCTGGTCTATCCTCAAAAGTGTAAATAAAAAGCATGCATCTAGAAATAATATTATATTATTATATAATATTATAATATATTATAACTTATTGAAATTAAGTGCTTCAGCGATATCATATCCACTGGCTAAATTGTTTAATGTATCCCTGGATAAGTCTACTTTTCCGGTAAGTTGGAAAGAAGCTTCCGTTGTGCCTATTTATAAGAAAGGTAATATTAATGAATGTAGTAATTATAGGCCTATAGCTCTCACGTGTTGTGTGGCTAAAATATTCGAAAAATGCGTTTTCAAATATGTTTTTAATTACTTAAGAGATAATAATTTGCTTACAAATCTTCAATCAGGTTTCATGCCAGGGGATTCCACCGCTAACCAGCTGTCTTACTTATATGATTTTATTGCTAGAGAATTGGATAAAGGCAAAGAAATCAGAGCAGTCTTTTGCGACATTAGTAAGGCCTTTGATAAAGTCTGGCACAAAGGCATTATCCATAAACTCAAATCCTATGGTATTGAAGGGAAATTATTGAGATGGTTTGAAAGCTACCTAAAACATAGATGCCAACGGGTTGTTATCAATGGGTATATTTCAGACTTACGACCAGTTACGGCCGGAGTTCCACAAGGGTCAGTTTTAGGACCGCTACTGTTTCTAATTTTCATAAACGACATTATAGACGATATTGATAGTAATATAAGATTGTTTGCCGATGGCACATCCCTATATGTCGTGGTAAATGACCCGAATACAGCAGCACATTGTCTGAATAACGATCTAAGTAGAATATCCTCTTGGGCAGAAAACTGGCAGGTCGATTTCAATCCTAATAAAACAGTATCTATCCAATTTTCCCGGAAGATTCTTCCAAATGCAAAACCAGTTTTGAAAATGAGTAACACTACTGTTCAGGAAGTTCATTCTCATAAACATCTTGGACTTACTCTCCAAGAGGATTGTATGTGGAACGATCATATTGATAGATAGTCAAGAAAGTCAGTCCAATGATTAACTGTCTCAGGAGTTTCAAGTCTCGTTTAAATAGAAAAAAACACTGCAAACTATGTATAAATCTTTCATATTACCGATATTTGATTATTGTTGCCACATATGGGACAACTGCACAAAAGAACAGGCGTTACTACTTGAAAAACTAAATCTAGATGCACTCAGAACTATTTGTGGGGCTGTTCGTGGCGCAAGTCACGGTAAACTTTATGAAGAAACAAATCTTATATCATTAGAAGAAAGAAGGCATTTTCAAAACTTAAATATTTTTTATAAAATGGTTAACAATCTAGTACCGGACTATCTCTCATCCCTAGTTCCAAATAGAGTGTCGGATGCAAGTGATTATAATGTGAGAAACTGCCCACAGCTGCAAACCACAAAGTGTAAATCAAATAATTATGCCAAATCATTTATTCCAGATACAGTTAATATTTGGAACTCACTACCTATTGAATACACCAATGCCAGTAGCTTAGGAAGTTTTAAAAGTTTTATAAAAAGCAGTGATAGGAATGGTATATACTTTGATACAAATTATGGATCAAGATTCTGTCAGGTTATACACTCCCGTCTCAGGCTTGGCTGCAGTGATCTAAAAGCCGACAAATTTGCCAGATTTATATCCGACAGCCCGAGATGTTGTTGTGGCTATCATACGGAAGATGCACTTCATTTCTTTCTTACGTGTCCCTTAAACAGTACAGTAAGGCAAAACATGTATTATTTCGTAAAAGGCTACGATTTAAATTCCATTCTAAATGGTAATTCAAATGTAACGACTGTAACAAATCTTGAAATTTTGAAATCGGTTGCACAGTTTTATTCTATCTTCTTGCCGATTTAGAGATTTTGTCTGAGATGATGGCTTTGCTATATGATACTGCGATGATGTTGTGCTGAATGTAAATAATAACGTAACTGTAGTTATGGAAGATAATCCAGTAATTAAACACTTACAGAACAATACTTATCTGTAATGCCAATTATACAATGTATGCTATTTCTCATGTCACTATCAATACATTGCTATTTGTATTTGTATCATGTTTGGGAGAGGCATTCAGATAAGCAAAATTTGCTTGTTTGCCAATCCCTCCACTTTATGGAAATAAATATGTTTATATCAAATAGTATTACCACCAATGATTGGTACCAACACTTTACAAATCTTTTGTTATCCCCCACCATTGAAGACCAGTCTGCCGCAGAGCCTACAGTACCAGATACATCCGCTCGATATGATACAAACAAAAATGTTACCGAGGATATTCTTGATTCTCCAATAACGAGAGATGAGATTTTAGACAGCATATATAATATTAAAAGTAACAAGGCAGCTGGTATAGATGATACTATTCCTGAATTCTTTAAACATTCTTCAGATTTACTACTTCCATACTTAGAATTAATATTTAATTTGATATTAGAAAATGGACATTTTCCAAAATCATGGTCGATTGGTATTATCGTCCCAATCCATAAACAAGATGATATGAATAACGTAAATAATTACAGAGGTATTACCCTTTTAAGCATATTCAGTAAGATATTTACATCTATCATTAACAAGAGACTAGTGTTCAGGGGTAGTGCTATGGATAAAATAAGTGAAGCCCAAGCTGGATTTAGAGAAGGATATACAACTATTGATAATATGTTTATACTACAAACAATCGTACATATATTTGATATTTGATTTAAAGATAAGTCCGATATTACTATATGGAGCAGAGATAGGGGGACTCAGTAAGCTTGAACAAATAGAAAAAGTACATTTATATGCCTGCAAAAAAATTTTTGGTGTTAAAGTTAATACACCAAGTGTTATGGTATATGGTGATTGTGGCAGATTTCCAATCTATATACATTCATATCTAAAGGTTATCAAATATTGGTTAAGATTATTGAATATGTCATCTTATAGGTTCCCGAAAAAATGTTATAATATGATGGTACTCTTTGATAAAAATGGAAAACGAAATTGGGTAACAGACGTAAAAAACTTGCTGTTTTCTGTTGGTTATGGCTATGTTTGGTGTGAATAAAATATACAATGTCATTCATATTTCATTAGATCATTAACACAAAGACTAAAAGATATATATTTACAAAATCGGTCTCAATCTGTATCTGAATCAAACAAATGTATTTATTACAAAATGGTAAAAAATGATTTATATCCCGAACAGCATTTATCTTGCTTTAAAAATGTAACAAAAATCCGAGTTTCCCTTGCAAGATTTCGATGTTGCTCACACGATTGATTTATTGAAACTGGCCGTTACACGGGTATTAAAGAGAAGAACGCATTTGTCACTTGTGCGCCCTAAATAACATTGAAGATGAATACCACTTCCTTCTTATATGCCCATTTTATGCAACATTAAGGGCTAAGTATATACCTGAATATTACCTTGTAAATCCCAATTTCTTTAAATTCACATCGCTGTTAAACAACTCTAAGTATCTACTTTTACAAAATGTATCTATGTACATTTACCATGCAATGAGACACAGCAAAAATATTATGTTATAGACTCTCCTACTCTGAATGTACAACTCATAAATGTACTATATGCCTGTGGCCTCCTTCAGTACGGAAATATAGAAATTGAACGGTATTAGAGGAAATATGGATACGTTTTACAGTTCATATGGTGGTGATCGATCGGCAGCCATTTTTTTATGAATCGATATGTAGGCTTTTGATGTATTCATGTATATGTTTATATTGATGTTTATGTGTGAAAAGGCTTAATGTATTTAAAAGGCGTTTCCGTAGCAAGAAGGAAACCTCTGTTTAACCAATCAGAATCAAGCTTGCATCAATGTCACTGTAGAATCACGTTCATATATCGAATCCACGTCACCCAAGTATTTAAAGAAAATGCAGGGTGTTTTCAGAGAAGGTACGGTGGATGTTGTCAAAAACCCTCTGACCCAACAAAGACCTGAGATATACGTGTATATGCCACTATGACTAAAACTGATTAACGTCTTATCTCCCCCAAAGTACATTTTAAACGCATATTATACGATGAAGTCATTCACACATGCTCAAGATGTAGTCAGAATCGTACATTGGACTTTAGTAGATATTTCTTATGATTATTGAACTGTTTCTATCGCTTTATATACGGTCTGTTTACCTCCTGAACAAGCACTGCATGCTTCTTGTGTGTCCAACAGATGGACATGCTCCTTCATTTAGAGAAAACCTGATTTTAATTGACTTTCAGGAATAATTTTTAAATTTTCATTTTATTTTTCAGTTTAAGGTCACTTGTTTTCTTCTTCTTTCATAAATTTCATGACACTGTATTACTATCACCAAAGGGTGTCCCAATGATTCCATTGTAATATGTTTATGTAAAGTCAAATAATGATACATCAAGAAACTAAACTGTAGCTTGATTTATTGCAAAGGATTACAAACAAGCATGGTTAACCCTTTGTCTCTCAACCAATGATATGACCCGGAGTCACGTCATTTGACAAAACAAAGTTCTTGAAATAGACGTACGAATCTCTTGTTGGCGCCCAATCCGGCGATGAACCACCAAAGAAGGTTGAGAAAAAAATTCCGTCGATGGTGACGCTGGATTTGGTGCGGAAGTTAACGTTGTTGATTTCATATACTTGTTTACCATTGTACCAAACTTTTGCTGTACCGTCCTGCTTTCCCGGCGTGTTTAGCTTCACCTCCTGAGCTATGTTCTGCCAGACTCCCTTCTTGAAGTGCCACGAATCCCTACCTAAAGAGTTACCGTAGTCGAAGTTGCAAATGTTCTTAGTGCAGAAGTCGGCGCGTTGTCCAGAGGGGATGTAGGCGTACAGTTCCCCACCCCCACCAGTCCTCCACATAAAGCGTGTTGAGAAACATTCCTCGTTGTGACGTCCCCCAGAACAGGTTTGGGACCCTCCCCACAAACCCGGTAGCTTGCCTCCCTTAACCCAGTCAAAGTTGGGGTCGAAGTAGATGTCGTAGCTCAAGGTCAGCGTCGTTTGGGGACTGATAGGGGTCCAGTAGAACTGAATCCCTCGGTGGCCCCGAACTTTGATATAGTGTCCCTTCTCGTAGAACACTTTCAGGACATGTTCCCCGGTACCGGCAGGGTCAAGGACAACGGAGCCAGAGTCTTCGTCGAAGCCTCCATGTTGTAGCACAGTTATGCCCTTTTTGTAATCACTCGGATCGAATCCATAATATTCATAAAGAACTTTGCCTGAAAACAGCAATGGACATTTGACATTTAAATCAAACATAGTATTCATATTGATATATCTGCCACACACAAACGTAAGAGCATACTGACAACCTTTTGGCGAACACCTGGTGTCATCACTGATTTTAACTGATTCATCCACATCAGGTTTACCACTATTTTCGGTGTATAATTGAGACTAATTTTTCTCTGGCGTCTATAGCCTGCAACCTCGGGGTATCGCGGTACTTGTCATGTACGCTAAACGGAACAAAATGCACTCACTAACCTCTATGTTTTTTCGTGTTCTCTGTATCAGATATCATTCATGTTATCAAACAATGCATATTTTACTGATAAAAGTTCATTATTTACATTAGTAGCTCCGAGTAAAAGCCGGGCCTCGCGTTCTGTTTGACAAGGGAGAGAACCCCATCGTATCGCTACAGAGAAAAGTTGTGTATGGAGGTCCAAATTGGACAAAAAGAGGACATAATTCTACCAACCATTGGTATGATCATGCCAGACATCAGTGATTTGTCAAGACAAGTGCAAAGACAGCACAAGTAAAATTCTAAATGTGTTATCAGCAAGAGGTATTCAATGCATATTTACCGAAAAGTAAGAGAAAAATATTTTTATAAGTCAACATCAAAATATCAGAAATGATATTTTAAGATTGTTTAAAAAAAAATTGGATGACAATAATTTGTCATAAAATGGAAAAATGTTAAAAGTCAACAATAAATATATAAAAAGCACTCCTAGTATGCCCAAAGTATGTATATATCTTTTGGTTACTAGTGAAGAACGTATTTCTAAGTTTGGCATTATGGCCCTTATGATCTCCCAATAGATTCTGGGCACAGAGCGGGAAAAAAATGTGCGGACTACGTAACTTCCGTTACCTCATTAGTCGCCATGAATATGCAAGTGATCTAGTTCAGGTCGATAGAGAAAGTTTACTTGGGGAACTGCGGGTTATATCGTTGGCCATTGATAGATGGGGGTAAGGCAATATTACAACAGATGCCAGAAATATGTATCAACGGATTAATAACTCCTTACTTACAGCAGACGGAACATTCCGAGGAAATTGAAATTGTTTACGAAGTGAGCACTTCCTGGTTACTGATTTGCATTAATAGACAGCCGCTAAGAGGCTTGTCCCGCTTGAACCACCGGAAATCACAAATGCCGCGATACGATGAATGCCTCGGTACCATGGGGTCCGAGTATACATTCAAGACCATTGTATACACCAATCACTGTCAATGTTTGACTGGATACCTACACTATAAGGTATGTGATAATTCATTGATAACAACTAATATCAGCAAACCGTTTAAACTTATAACGTACTTTGCGACACAAGTTTTGTGTGGGTTACCTAAACATTGTTTTGCTGCTTGGACAAGGGTCAATCATACATGTTGATATGAAATTGAAAATGTGAACGGCTATTATACACGATTAAGGGTAGGGAACCTTTCCCCAGGTAACCCAAACAAAACCAAAAAGGTTTTGGCAATGGAGGGACCTCATCAGTTACCTGGCAATACATTCAGTGACTTGGACGGTCGGGGAGGCTAATAACTGTCAAGTAAAGTGCTAAATAAAAGTGACAAAACCATTTCCATAGTCATAAGAAATGTCTACTAAAAGCAGAGTCGATTGCACGACTCCGACAATTTCATGAGCATGTGGTGATACCAGTGTTAAAAAAAAGTGAAAAAAACATTTCCATAGTCATAAGAAATGTCTACTAAAAGCAGAGTCGATTGCACGACTCCGACAATTTCATCAGCAGGTGAGTGTACCCTGTTCCACTGTTGGCATCCGTCACAAACACATGCACAGGAAAACAATTGTTCACCTGAAAAAACACGGAAACATAAAACATTTTACCTGTGACATAGCTAAACGTTTGTGGCGTGCCCGGTTTGGCTGTATGTCTGATGGGTTTCTGGGTAGCTGATACCGGGCCGTCCATGCCTTCAATGTAGAACCGGGCTTTTGGAACGATGTCACCAGTGACACGTCCAATTAGCTTCACACACAGTTTGTCGCCAGCCTTCTGTTCGCCATAAGATGCCTTGTTGACCAGGACAAACTCTTTACCTCCATTCAGAGTTTGCTGAACATCAGCAACCCAGATCTGAAAGATGTGATGGTTGAAACTTTATACGTAACACATCGGAGCTTTCTGTAAGAGGATACTAGCATGGCAAAGAGATGTCTTCCAGGATCTGGAGTATGTCTGATATGGAGATTGTATCAAAGGACTCCTGTATGCCAGAAAGACTCACGGTAGTAGATAGTAGAGATGAGATGTCTGCTTACATACCTAGGTTTGTTTGTTTGTTGTTTAACACCGCACTAAGCAATATTCCAGCTATTTGACGGCGGTCTGTAAATAATCGAGTCTGAAACCAGACAATCCAGTGATTGACAACAGGATCAATGATGACTAGGTACTCTTGCGGATGCTGCAAGAGGGATCCGCACAACGACGATACCTCTTGAAGACCTGGATACCTCTTGGAGACCAGGATACCTGTTAGCGAATGACTTGAACATGAGAGATGGTTAGTAAGTGTCAATGTACGTATTGGGACATCTGCCGCTCTTACACTGGCCACTACACCTAAATGGATGCAACTGTTACGTTGTCCGAAGTTGAGAGTGACCCCGAGGAGGTTTACTTCACTGAAGTTGTATTTCTCTTATTTACAAACCAGATACACACTCGTGTGGCATTCTTACGCTCGGGGGATCGTGGAGTAGCCTTGTGGTTAAAGTGTTCGCTGGTCACGCCGAAGAACTGGGTTCTATTCCCCACATGGTTACTATGTGGGTAGCTCATTCTGGTGTCCCCTGCCGTGGTATTGCTGGAATATTGCTAAAAGCGGTGTAAGACAATACTCACTCACTCGTTCACTCGGGAGATAATGCCACTTACGTCTAGCGTATCGACGTGATGGTCAAAGATGAGATGAGCTGTCCAGTGATGCATGGTTTGAGTGATAGGTTCACAGAAGTCCGACCGAAAACCACCATCCCAGTGTTTTGTAATGGGAATGTCCATGGCAACCGCCGATGAGAGAACAAACAGAACAGCGAGAAGGGACACCATGTTTCTTTAAACGAAAAACCGAAAACATATTTGGACATTTATACTTGAAATTCATCTATCTTTAAATCGTAGTTGATTACACTCCTTGTTCAGTATAAGTGGCCGTAGTGTCCTTTTCAGGGATCAGAACATCCAGGTCCTGCCATGGCCCGCCAGGTCTCCAGATTGAAACCAAATCGAATATTTATGGGACGCACTGGATCAAGAGTGCGAGGACATCAACAATTGTCAGGCAGAAAGGATGAACATAGCCAGGCCAGAAATCGGGATCTGATTGCTTTCATGGGACGACGATGACAGTCAATTGTGGACTCTTATGGTGGCAATACAAGAGATTGAGAACAGATGATCTTCACCTTGAAAATCTACTGTTCCATATGGAACCATAAATTACATCGATGTGTGTCGATACTGAAACCATCTGTTGATTATAAATATGATCAGCAAAACCTAAATCTAAATTTTGCAGAGTATATAATCAGGCTATTGCAAACCGATTCATATGATACACAACATCACACACTTACCACTTTCAACACTGCCGTCTTGCCCGTCTCCCTTACCAAGACATAAGGGCACTGATTATATGTGACTAAAATGTAGCGGTGTTAAACTGATAACCTGCAGGTTACGAGAGATGTTTCTAACACCTGTTTAGGCAGTGGTGACATAATTCCATAGAAAGCGTGTATAGCGATAAAATGTTGGTTTTTTTGTCATTAGTTATAAATACAAGTCATGCTATCGTTTTGGCCGTTTGGAATCTGAATAATAATATTTAAAAATGTCAAACCCTTTCCATGTTGAAAATACATCCCTGCCAAAACATGGTCGTTTCCATGAGTGAGTGAGTGGGTGAGGTAGGGAGGGAGGGAGGAGTGAGTGAGTGAGTGAGGGAGGGAGGGAGGGAGGGAGGGAGGAGGGGAAAATATTTAACATCAAATCGGCAATATTTCAGCCATATCGTGACGAGAAGTTATTTATTATTGATACATGTAATCAGTCCAAATGAAAACCTGTCATCGATGGACGGTAAAATAGCAAGAATATCGCAGTACTATTTAAAACTAGCATACAACCACAAAAATATATCAATATAAGTTACAATACAATATAAAAAGGGCCTATAGATCGCCAGCAGCTGAAGGTAGATCACCATGCTCGGGTCCATGGGATGAGTGAGTGAGTGAGTTAAAACGGAACGTCACGTCGGCAATAGTTCAGCAATATCGTAACGAAAACTGACACATAATACAAAGATGTATTTGGAATAAAAACCTGTCAGCGAGGGACAGTGGGATAACTAGGGTATCACAGTTTCGATCTTAAAATTAGGTAAGAACAGTTAAAAGAATACATTTTCAATCAACAATACAATATATAAATTAGCTATAGATCACCAGTAACCAAAGTAAGGCCACCTTACTAGGGACTGAAGGGACTTACAATACCTCTGCTACCTGCACGGCTCCCCAGCAGGATCTACACCACCCCTTCAGCTGCTGGCAATGGTTCGCAATAATTAAGGCAACAGTTAAAATAAACAAATATACTACGTTTAAAACTGAGGTAAGAATAAATGTACTTTGAATGATGAGGTCTTACATATTCTCTCAGGGGGACAATACTTTTACGCTACTTCAACCCCCTTTGAGGATATAGCCACTAACAATCTAACTTACAAATTATACTTTACCAATATAAAATATAGCTATTTACACAATTCAAAATTTATCAAAATTCTTTTTAAAAAACTATAATTAAATGAGAATTGATTCTATTAAAAAGATCCTTTATTGATGATGATTTGAAATATTTATCAATTGTGATGGAAAAGTCAACACAATCAAGCAGGGCATGCTTGACGGTGATTCTCACATCACAAGGGATACAAAATGGAGGATCCTCACCTTTAAATAAATAATTATTTGTATACCTGCTATGGCAAAAACGACATCGTCGTGGTATGACCTCTTCAAATCTGGACTAACAATCCAAGTTGGTGTAGCCAATAATTGGTTTAATTTCATGTAATTTATTATACCTTTTTGAGTGTCCCACTTCTTTTGCATTAGATCACGGATGTAAGATCTAATCACGGGTTCATAATCAGTGTATGGAATCAGAAGTGGTGTCACAGATTTGTCGAGTGCTGCCTTGGCGGCAGCATCGGCCATTGTGTTACCAATGATTCCAACATGGCTGGGTAAACAACAAAAATGATGTCATATTGGCCATTAGCAAGTTTATAATATAATTCAATAATTGCAATTAAAAGTGGATGCTTACATGACATATTTTTAATAGCTTGAAGAGTCCGAAAATAATATGTAATGTTTATGCTTAGTTTGTTTACCAATAGCTGTTAGAAATGCATGGGGTTCGGCTGTAAAAATATTATAGAACTATTTTCTGGTAGTCGTGAAGACATAATCCTGGATCAAATTGACGGTGGCGGGTCCATGGGTACTTACATTACTTATGCTACATTCATGGACCCCAGCAGGATTTACAACGTCCCTTCAGGTGTTTACAACTATTAGCAAATTTAGCCGAAAGTTGACAGAATACATATTCTACGATAAAAATTATGACAGGAATAACATACTTTGAAAGATATGAGTGAGTGAGTGAGTTGGGTTTAACGCCGTGTTTAACAATATTCCAGTTATATCACGGCGTGTCAGCTTAATGTGGGAGGAAAGCCCGAAGTGATGCAGGTCTCAGACTTTTACCACTTCGGTGAAACCCACGAGCACGGGTATTGTGCTGACAAACCTAGAAACATAATCGGGGCGAACCGGGATTCGAACCCACAATCAGAGGTTTCTGGCGTGCCAAAGGGACACAACTCTGCAGAGCGAATCGCGGCGCCTTAGACGACTGGGCCACCTGTGCGCCCTTGAAAGATATGAACTTACTATACCCTCTCAGGGGGACAATAATTTTACAGTACTTTGACCCCCGTCAAGGTCAGACACGCAAACAATCTCAGTTCATAATTAGACACTACTAATTTAAGAAAGAACATTTATCTATTCTTTAAAAAAGCCTAAATTTTAATGAGAACGAATACTATGAAAATATCCTTAAGAGATGATGATTTGAAATATTTATCCCTTGTGATTGCAAAATCAATACACTCAAGCAGGACCACCTTGACTGTGATTCTCTCATAACAAGGGATACAAAATGGAGGATCATCACCTTTTAATAAATATTCATGTGTATATCGAGAATGGCCAATATTACATCGTCGTGAAATAACCTCTGCAGATTTGGACTGACAACCCATGTATGTGTAAGCGATAGTTGGCTTAATGTGATGTCATTTATTTATACCTACTTGGGTGTCCCACTTCTTCTGCATAAGATCTCGGATGTTACATCTAATCATAGATTTATAATCACTGTATAGAATTTGAAGTGGTGTCGCATATTTGTTGAGTGCTGCTTTTGCTGCAGCATCAGCCGTTGTATTGCCTTTAATGCCCACATGACTGGGCAACTAAGAAAAGACGATTTCGTATTGTCCAGTTGAAAATAAAATAAATAATCAAAATAATTGGATGAAAATGAGAGACATTTTTCAGTGCCTGAAGACAAGATAGAGAATCGGGAAAAAATGATAAATTGCTCACATGCAGACTGTCGTTGAATGTATACCAGGGCTATAAGGATAGCATTGGCCTCAGCAGTGAAAATAGAGCTATTGTCTGGTATTCTAGATGATAAATGTTTTGGTCCAACGACAGTGACATATGCCTCTTTGCCACCGTCTTTAGATCCACCAGTAAAGATTGAACAGTGAGCGTCGCACTTAATTCTTAATTGTACATATTCCTTTTGACATACTAGATGATTTGTATCAGATTTAATAAAACGCGTTAGAGAAACATCTACTTCTGGCCTCACCAGCTGCCAGGGATGAGTAGACAAGAGCCGATATGGAAAGATAATATAGATTTATGTTTGCAGCAATAATATGTGATTTGATCCGAATTCCAAGTGGTGGAACCATCTTTGGTTTTCTCTGAAACAGTTCTTCACATAGGGGATGAAAAACGGAGTCATAGGCGGGATGAGAAGGATTGGAGTGTAATTTAGTGTTATATTGAAGAGACAATTCAATGCGGCGTTGTTACAACGAAGGTTAATCAGCTTCGACATAGTGAGTGAGTGAGTATGGTTTTACGCCGCTTTTAGCAATATTCCAGCAATATCACGGCGGGGGACACCAGAAATGGGCTTCACACATTGTATCCATGTCGGGAATCGAACCCGGGTCTTCGGCGTGACGAGCTAACGCTTTAACCACTAGGCTACCCGACCGCCCCAGCTTCGACATAGAGGCTGTCAACAGGAGAAGATCTAAAAGCACCAAGGCATGGTTTTGGTCCTTGATGGTGGATTGAATCTGGTTGTTTTAAATTACTCTTACAAGCTCCAGCATACACGATGGAGCCATAGTCGAATTTGGAGCGGATTAATGATCTATATAAGTGAAGGAAGGTTGTATAATCCCCTCCCAACTTTGAATTTGAGACGACTTTCAACAAGTCTAGGGCCTTCAGGCACTTTGTCCTCAGATATTTTATGTGTGACAAAAATGTCAAATGGTGGTCGAAAATTAATCCCCAAAATTTGTCTTCTTTTACAATTTTAATTTGCCATCTACAAAGAGACCTGTGTCTTTATGGGGTTTATATTTCCGACAGAAATGTATACAATTAGTGGTGGCCTGTGAAAACTTAAAACCATTCTCAAGACACCATTTATGAATTTCATTAAGGCACAACTGTAATTGTCTTTCAATGGTACGCCTATTTTTACCACGACATGAAATATTTTAATCATCTGCAAGCAATCAATTGAGTCATTTAATACTTTAGATAAACTATTTATTTTTATACAAAACAAGGTGACAGACAAACTACTGACCTGTGGAACCCCCTGATCGTGATTATAATGATCAGACAGTGTTGATTCAACACAAACTTGAAATTGTCTGTCTGTTAAAAACTGCGATACAAATTGAGACAGGCGGCATCTTAAACGCTGATAAAAGTTTAACTTTGAGACCTAACCTAACTTGAGTTGCATATATTATTTTGTTTCCCATAAGTTTTTTTTATATAAATACAACATTAGTCGATTTTGATTGTTTGAATGCAATGAATGCCATTAACCATCCAGACCAACACAACCCATCCATTAAAACACATCTGTGACGTCATTCTATTGTTTGAACGCTCCATTATTTTTCAGGAATGGAGAGTTGCTTGTCAACTGTACATTATCTTGAAGCAGTATTTGAATTTTTCAAATATTTTCAACCACAGAATATTTTGTCCAAGTGTAAAAGTAGGGATGAGTTTTAAGTAGGGGAATATCCTCGTAACTCTCCATTCCTTAAAAATAATGAGCCTCTGCTCCATTATTTTTAAGGAATGGAGAGTTACTCGGACATTCCCCTCTACTTAGACTACCCACCAACGCTTGGGTGACGAGACAAAAGAAACAGCTGACCAAACCAATGCGCGACCATTATTTTGAGGGTTGTAGAGGGTGATTTCCATACTGTGAAATTGTGATTTATGTTGACAAGCCATGCCTAAATATGCTT